CCAAGGCTTTAGGGATTAGGGATTAGGGATTAGGGATTAGGGATTAGGGATTAGGGATTAGGGATTAGGGTTTAGGGTTTAGGGTTTAGCGGTTTAGCGGTTTAGGGTTTAGGGTTTAGGGGTTCAGGGTTCCGGATGGAGGATTGCGGCCCATTTATGTAGGGTATCGTAGCCCGAAACCCAAATACCACAATGCTCGTAGCCCTGAACTTGGAATCTCAAGGCCTTTAATAGACCCTGGGCCCTTGCAATTAACCCTAACATAGGGGCCTTAATGATTAGAATAGGGTTTTAGGGTATATTATACTACAATTATAATAAGGAATCCTGAAAACAGTATTGGCAATTAAGGCCCCTGTAGTAATCCCCATCTTCCAGCTGTGAACGCTGATGGCTTAGAGTAGGGTTTAGGGTCAAGGTTGCTTTTTGTGGTTTAGGGTTTACGGTTTAGGGTTTGGGCTTGTTATACATCTTGTTGTATCGGTCGGACAATGATTTGTCCATGGGCACCGAGAGGTTTACCAGGCGGATGGGCGTTATCCTGAGATGATTTTTGCAGCTAGCGGGAGTTGATCTTTTGGTTGGGAAGCCGTAAACCCTAACCCTAAACCCCTATGACTCCTATGGCTACTGAGTTATGCCACAACACCAAAAAACCCTAAACCCTAAACCCTAAACCCTAAACCCTAAACCCCAAGCAGGGAGCGGCGTTCGTTGGTTTAAGGTTTAGGATTTAGGGTCTAAGGGTTTAAGGGGTTTAGGGTTCAGGGTTTGCATGTGATGAAGGGGTTGGAGATATGAGCGGCAACACTGCTCTTCGAGACCCTTTTCGATGTGCTGCGGAAGCCATGTGGAGCACCCAACCAAGTCCGACCGCAACATGCATATTTATAAGACGTAAACCCAAACCCCTATCCCCTAAAACCTTAAACCCTGAATCAATCTGAAGTCCGGTGCCGTATCTGGAAACCTCCAAACCTAATGGGCCTCAAGGTCAAAGTCAGTGCTATATAGGTACACGGACCAGAAGCTTCTAGCCATAGGCCCCATAGTAGTTCCGTTTTGGGATTACCTTGTAGGATTCTTAATGTGAACCCCAAACAGGAACCACTATGGGGCCTATGGGTAGATTCTCCAGCCCACCAGAAAACAACAAAATCTTAGCATAGGCTCATTCTTGGACATAAACGGGATCTAAGGGATCGCTTTGATGCTTTTATGACCCATGCGATGCCTGCAGTATCTTCCTAAACCCTAAACCCTAAACCCTAAACCGTATGACCCATGCGATGCCTGCAGTATCTTGAAGGGGGACTGCATGGATGGATCCCACCATCTGTCAGACTTTGCCTGCGAGCTGGGAGGTTGAAATCATGGAGCTTTAGGGTTTAGGGTTTAGGGTTTAGGGCGCAAGATCCATAGAACCTAAGTGCTTTCTTGCGGGTGTCAGTATCCGCCCTCCACAGAAATTTCCTAAGACCCTTCAAGAGTGGGGTATATATGGTAGGTGAAGGTGCGGCTGTTGGTTTGGGATTCGGGTGAAGGCTGGTGCGGCCAGTATAGGGCGCAGAGCTTGGCATGCGGAAATAAATCTTACAAGTGTGTCTAGGCTCCACTCTGGCAGGACTTGGGAACCCAACTTCGAAATCATTGTAGCTCAAAGCCTATTGTAAGCTGGGCAACTGCACTGATCCCTCCTTAACCTGCAGAGCCATAAGAGGTCCGAAACCCGATCCTGCAGTAGGGTCTTTCAGGCAGTCGGATGGTTCTGCAACTATGGGCTCCTGTCGTTATGGTTCGGTTTTTCTGTGCTTTTTCTTTGTACGAGTTTATGACTTTCATTGAACGCTGTAGGCTCGCCGCGGATGCCCTCTTTCGTTGCAGAATACACCCAGAAACCGCAAAGCACTGAACTCAAACCCTAAACCTAAACCCAAACTCAAAACCACCTGAAATTGAGTCTAAACCTTGAAAGCGAAGACATGCACGGCCAGAGCGACAGATCCACAACTCACCTGATGAGACAGTGCATTATGCACCGCTGTGAAGGTGCTTCATGTATCTTCCCTACGGCCTAACCTTCCTCAGTCCCGCAACTATAAGACCCGTGTAACGCTCATCAAAAAAACGCCTCTATAAAAAGTTTCTTCAACCTACCACAACCCTCTCTACCCCTACCTTTTCAACACCTCCTGCCACTGAAGCCATGTAAAACCCTGTCAAACGTTATCAAAAGCCTATAGCCGCTATAGCCCTATAGAGCCCTACACCTTCCCATTAATGTAGGGGCCACAAATTTTAGAATAGGGTTTTGTGGTAACTTATACTCTATAAGTATAAAAGGACCCCAACAAACCAAAATAAATAAAAATAAAAATATTATTGAGGCCTTTAGATTATTCAGGGGTGTTGGGCCTTGTCTTCCTCCTCCTCCGGCGGCGGCGCTTCCTCTTTGGAGCCCTTCGAGTCTTTAGAGCCCTTGGAGCCGTGGCGCTCCCTTTCCTTCTCCTTCTCTTTCTCCTTCTCCTTCTCCCTCTCCTGCCTCAGTACGTGCTGTTGGGGCCTAAATTATTACTATGACCAATACTATTTTGGGAGTTCCTTGTGTTATAAATGCACTCCAAAACCCTATTCTAAGTAGTACGGCCCCTGTGTCCAGGCTTCGGGTTCAGGGCTATTAGGGCTCAGGGCTTAACAAGCGTTTTGGGTTTCGGCTTAGGGTTTAGGAGGCAGCTACATTCCAAGTAAACCCTAAAATCCGGAGCAAAGACATGTTCGATGTTTGGGCTTTTGGGTCAGGGCTTCGGCAGTGGATGTTCAGGTTCGAACGGTTCGCTCTTGACTTTGGGGGTTTGGGGCTCTGCGGTTTAAGGCTCCGCATGACACCTTTTGTGCTTGAGGGAGAGGTTTAGGGTTTAGGGTTTAGGGTTTAGGGTTTAGGGTTTAGGGTTTAGGATCAGTTGTACAGGACTTCGGGGGTTTGGGGATCTCGACTTTCCAGGGTGCAGCGCTTAGGGTTTACGAGCAAGAATCAAAACGATAGGGTTTAGGGTTTAGGGTTTAGGGTTTAGGGTTTAGGGTTTAGGGTTTAGGGTTAACGATGACTGAAGAGACAAGACTAGAGACCAAGCAAGGTGTCTGATGTCGCCGAAGCCTCTGAG